AAAGTCTCTCTCTCTCTCTCTCTATCTCTCTCTTTCTTTCTTTCTTTCTCTCTCTCTCCATCACATATTTTTATCACTTTAAATCACTCTTCCATCACAAGTGCTCATCTAATAGTAAATATCGTATTGAATAAAATAACAGTTTATTTTACATATCTCTTTCACTAAAAGTAGTTTGAAATGAAAAATATGGACTAAAATTACATTTAATAAACATCTTTCTCTGCGGCATATTTTGCATAATTTTATACTTCATTTTTATCAATTTCTTTTTACATTTCATACAACTTAATAAAAATGTTATTTATTTTGTTATCACATACATGTATAAAGGCATTACTTTTTATCCATGATTTTGCTTATTCTGAAATAAATGCAAACTTTTCATATTAATTTTTCATATTAAGTTAAATAGATATTTATTTAGAAAATGTGCATTTTTTATACAACATTTTTTACTTATATTAAATTTTAAGTTATATTTGCATTCGCTCGATATGAAATTTAAACAAAATATTAGCAAAACATAAGTTTTTAATTTTAAACAAACATTATATGAAATACTATTTACCTTAATCTTCTATTTTATTTCATTTAATAACTAATTTATTTATTTTAATACACTTTCATTGAATCATTACTTTCTAGTCTACTAATTTCCATCAATTACAACTCACAATAAAGCCATTATAAATTAATTATAATAAACATAACATTACAAATAACAATTATATTAATACATTAAGATACTCATAAAAATAATTATATTTATTCTATGAACAATAATAATATTAATATTGTTATTACGTTTATTAAACGGATATTACGTTTATGATGATGATCATAATTGGCAGAACAGAATCACATAAAACTCTATCCATATATCAATATAACGCCTAATATAAGCCAAATCGGGGACAATATAACCCTCATCTGTTCGGTCAACATCGAAGGCAATACATTTATCGACATTTCCTGGGATTACGACTCTTATGATGTGATTATCATTTATTGCCTAACAGTATAACTGTTTATATAATATTATATTTAATATGATATATAAATATTGTTATGATTTTGATTACGGGTTTTTAGATTAGCCGAAAAAGTGAGTCTTTGATACAATCGGTGACCAAACAGACCAGCGGTGGTGTGTATGAGACGGCCAGCCGTTCCCTAACTATATTCAACGTAACTGATGAAGACGTGGGCGACTATACGTGTAATGTCACTGATTTAAGTCATACCTCTTATAGTGTGTCTAAATTGCTGTCAATCAAAGGCCAGTCGCCGGTAGGAACCGGTCGTCTCAATACAGCCCATACACACCTTCCCATTCCTTTTTACTATTGTATAATATCTGTTATTATTAGCATTTTTACTGATCGATGGATAAAGTAACCACTTTCACATATTCTACATTCAAAATTACCTAGTTTCATAACACTCATAAATTTTTAATATACTGCAGAATTTTTTATTTTGTTAAAATATTAATTTTTAAAATAATGTAATTTAATAACTGGAAAAATAAACTCATTACTGTTAAAATGTAAAATGTATTTTATTTTATTTATTAATAATTAGTATAATCTTAAATTTTTGTCGACAGTAATTTTATTTATTACTTATTTTATTCATAGGTAAAATTTGATACAGGAATTCCCGTTCAATTGGTTGTACTATTATTGACTTAAACTAAATAAACTTTTTTAATGGTATTAAAGATACTTTTAATAACGATAAATCCAGAATAGACTGGATTTTCATGAATATTCTCATGTAATTTATAATTTATGTAATAAATTCTGTGAATATTTTGAAATTCATAACATTTGATAAATCATGTATAGTAATATTTTGTAGAAGTAATATTTAAATTTATTAAATTATAAATCAGCATACTTTATTTATTATAAATTATTATAAATTAAAATAAGTTATACAATCAATAAAATATTATATTTTCATTTTTATGTTTAAAATGTTTTATAAATAATTTTTACAATTACAATATATGTTATCTAATGTTAGTAAATAAATAATAGGATTAATGGTATTAATAATAATAAATATACGGATAAAAACATTTTAAATAAAATATTTTTAATCGCTTGAAAGAAATATATTTGTATTTATTTTTGGGAAAAACATAAAACTAAATTATTTCTTTAAATCTCAACCCACGTTAATTTGTATTGTTTTCAAGTTTATTGAAACATTTTACTAGAATTTTAGTGAATCATAAAATGTGCACAAATTCTTGAATCGCTTTTTTAAAATAGAATTCCTGTTTTATAACAAGAATTTCCAAAATTCAGTGAAAAATATGAATTTGTTTTAAGTATTATTCAACTCATGTTAGTAATAGAAATTGTTGTTTTTACAAATATCAATAAGATCATAAAAATTGAGCATGCATTATTTGAAGAAAATTCACATTTGAGAGGGTATTTGATTAGATTAGCAGTTTATTAATAAAACATTGTATTACTCTATTGCAAAACAATAGCATAAAATACATATAATAATTGTACAAACAAAGAATATTCTGATATTTACCTGTATTTATGTTATAGATTGGGAACAATAGCCGAAGTAATATCTATGTGAATAAATATTAAATAATTTAATAGCAAATTATCCGTTTGGGAGTCAAAACGGAGTCCTAAAAGCTTTTTTAGTCAAAGTATAATGTAATTTGTTTTTTTAACATTCAAACTAATGTTTGTCGATAGAAATAGGGGCGCATCTCATGTCTGGAGAGTAACTCTTAATTATAGTTTTAAATGTCAAACCAATAATTAGCGAGTAATTGAAAATTTTGACATTAGTTATAAAGATGTGAGATTATGATTAACATATAAGATATCCATTACTGCCCACAATTTCTATATCCTTGATATCTATTGGTTAATTCATGTCTAATCCTATAGATTAACATATGATGGCAATCGGCCCATGAGATAGAGTTATGCCTTTTATGCAAAAATATTCAATAATGGATTAACGGATACCCACCTTAACATCCATTGTTTGGATGTATGCATAAAATATATACATCCAAAGTATTCATCTCTAATAATGTCTTTTATATTTAATATCATTTGCTTTCATAAAGTAATCAAAAGCTAGAAAAGTGTATCAGTTATTGTCAGTCAGTCGATGCGATCACTACTTATCCCACAAACACAACAATCGTCCCAAACATTTGAAGGTATTTCCAGTATTGCCGTTTAAATTAACCGTAAATTGTATTTAATTAAATGGATTGTTTAAATAATTTATTTTATTTTTATTTATTTCAATGATTGTAATAGTTTGTAAAGAATTTTGGATGTTTTAAAATATTTAAAATAAATCTATATCTTATTTCTATTATACACATTATATTTTACACTGATTGTATTAATAAATGTATGTCTCCATAAGTTTTTAATTTATCATAACGTAAGAAAAATACTCTTTAAAAGTTTGTAAAATACAAAATTTATCATTAATTATTAGTTTTAGATAAGTTAGAGTTGGAAAAATTTAGAATCAACAAACCTTTTAGCAATTTTCTTCTAAATTTTCCATAAATGGGAATCCTATTAGAGACTATGGGAAATAGGAAATTTTTAGCCCTAAATTTCTAATATTCTAGCCCATAATTATTACAGTAAATTATGATTAATTATAATTATTTCCAGAAATACCATCAGCCCTTTTCATCCACTGGACAATCATTCAAACACTTGATTAATAGTATTTACGCCTAAAAATCAAATGCCATTAAAAATGAGAAATACAAACCCAAAGCCCAGTCTCGTAATGACAAGCGTTGTGGTAATGATAGCCGTATTAATACTAATACTGATGAGCCAGTCGTCGTCGGCGGCGGTCGGGGCCGAGGACTCGCCGCTTAACATACGGGTGCCCTCGAGGTTTGGCAAACGTAACAATCTGTTCAAATGGTGGCGATTGTATAAAGGAGACGGTGTGGTCGACAACCCGTTTAGGTCTGATCCCAATCCGCAAACACTTTTCAACGATAACAACGAGAATGTGTTTTATTAAATCATTATTATTGATAGTATAACTGTTTGTTTGTCTATTTGTTATAATATGTTTGAATATTTGGTCGGAATTATTAGATTTTATTCATAATAATCATTTAGTCAATCAAATTGATAACTTCTTGTTGTAATTTGATTTGTAATAATCATAATAAGCGAGTATTACATAGCAATAGAATCGGAATTAATTATGAATTAGTAATAATAATTCTATATATCATTATTATTGAGAATTTTTAACAATTATTCTCATCCAATATAAGAAATTAATACAAGTTATGTATAAAACATTAATTTAATAAATCGATATAAACAATTTAAACTATTGATTTATGTTATTAATTTAATTAGAAATAAAATAATTCACATTTCTTGACATTAATATCTTATTTAATAATAAAATCTTTTAAAAATATTCTTATTGTTTACAATTATTTCAAAAATAATAACTATATTTTGTATTAAAGCAATAGAAATCTGTTTGTGAAATATAAATATACAGTATTAAAACTACTATGTTATAATCCCAATTATATATTAATGTTAATGTAGTTCATAGTTCATATATCGTTCATCATATTATAATAATATAACATGTTATGTAAGTATATAAATATTATAGTTATTAAAAGTACCCGGAATAATTAATAAATTATAACAATTTGTTAATATTAAAACATGTCATATGATAAATATTTAATATATTGATGTGTAAATTTTGTAAGAATTTGACATTTCTATCTAAAAACTTTATGGATAGAACAGGTATTATGTCATAAAAACATAATTTAAATTTTTATTGCTATAAAACTTATAATCAATATTGGCTCGTGAGTATTACAAGAGACAACCATATAAATAATTAAATGTATAATACTTTATAGTAATAATACATTAATTGTTGAAAAATAAAACATATTATGCTATTCTGTTGATGAGCGATATAAATGCTTTTGGCAAGAAATTCAATTTAATAATTCTTAACATGTTTATAAAATACATGATTATAAATATGTTTATAAAATATTTACAATGCTAATTTTTACGTATTAACGGAAAAATTGAATGTTAAACTACAATGTTTAATAGTAAGTCCTTTATGACAAAGTATACATTTTAAAGATCTTGTTTAGTTTTTTAAATCACAAATGATAAATTGGTTTTAATGAGAGATAGTCTGCTGTCATTCAACGTATAATTACAACAAAATTATCTTACAGTTAAATATATTGTTTTAAATTAACTTTTAGTACAATGTTTGAGTAGAAAATGTCAAACAAACTGAATAATAGTTTTGTTGTTTTTGGAAGTTTTCAGTTTTCATGAGAAACTCTTTTCATTATTCACTTTTATTTTTTATTTTCAAAATCACAAAACTAAGGAAAACAACAAGAAGAATATTCTGTTTCTCCACATCTCTCTCTCTCTCTCTCTCTCTCTCTCTCTCTCTCTGTGTACGTATCTCTCATACTCTCTACACATTCACACAAAAACACGTCTCCCTCTCAATAGACGAGACTATAGTTGTGTTGAGAAATATATATAAATATATATATTCTTGATGTCGTCGTCGTTTATTCTCTCTCTCTCTCTCTCTCTCCTAATTGCGGGTAATATAGGATAATATAGGCATAAGTTTGAGCACAAAAAACTGCCCCAAGTTTTAACAAGTTTCAAATATTTTATTGGAAAACTAGTTCAAAACGAATCTACAAAACAAAACAATTTGAAATTTTGATAACAATTTTTGTAAATTATAAGTTAAGTAAAAGTTAGGGTTAAGTATTAGACGAAGAGAATGAAGGGTTGAGGGGGTGTGTGAGTGAGTGGGAGGTGTGGAGTCAGTCGGGGGTTAGTATTTGTTTGGACACAAATTTGTTATTCAGTTTTAAAAGAGGGGTTTATTTTACAAAAATATAATTTAAATCTCAAAACATATGAAAGCGCTTCGAAAACAGAGGGGAAAAGGAATTACAATTAATTTATAATAAATACAAATTCCGTATAAAATATTTAATACAAATATTATTATAAGTGTGAAAATTATTAATTTGTAAACTCAATTAATTAATAAATTAAAAGTGGAAATTAAAGGCTTAATTTGATATAAGAGGTGACGGCGAGCACTAAAAGGCCGAGTGAGGCCACATTGGCGGCGGCGCCGTTCACGTGCTTCAGCTCTACCGTCTTAGAGGTAATGGTCTTTTTGTTTTTCTCGGCCGTGTCGTCCTCTACGTCGTACTTGCACTTGAATACGCCGCCACTCTTGTCGGTCAATTTGGTAACAGTGACGGTCACTTTCTTGCCCTCCTCTTTGGCCACAACGTCGCTAAAGCCCTCGGGTTTGGGGTAGGCTATCGTAATGAGCGTGGTGATATTACAGTAGTTATGCGTTAACATAAGCGTGTGTTCTTGTGTTAATTAATCTCAATAACTTACCGAAGGTGAATTTAGTGCCGTCAAATGTACCAGTGGCGATGGGTTTCTCAACGGCCGACACCTCTAACGATTTAAGTGTTTCGCCGGCGGGAACGTCGTAAGTGCACGAGGCGTCCAATTGACCGTCGTTTTTGAACTCGTCCTTCTTCTCTCCGGCGTCTTTCACCGCCACATCGAAAGTAATGATTTCTGAAGAATTGTCGGTCAAAATGAATGGCAAATAAGACATTAGCATTTATGCTCTTGATGGTTTGATATGTGATAAATAATCCATTAATTTATAAATACCGGAATCGACGTAGATCTTTTTAGTTGGGGATGTGACCTTAACTCCATTGGAGGTCACCTCGCAATTGTAGCTACCGAGCGGATTGGGTGCGCCGTCTTTCTTCTTAAGGGTAAATGTAGTTTTTTGGCCGTCGGTATTAGTGGCGACGAAATCAGCCTTGGTTATTTTGCCAGTAATCTCATTTAATTTGGAAGCTGTAATTAATAAACAAAGTTTATACATGGTTCAACATGCCGATCGCATATACCGTTACATTAAACAAGCGAGATTTAATGTTCGACGAATGAATTGTTTTGATAAAATATAGTTTACCTGTCGCCGTGACCTGGAATAAGGCTTTGGGTGGGACCTCGTCAGTTTTCATAACGTCCACTGTAACACCCGTATCGTCCGTCTTATCATAATTACAAGAGACGACTGTTTCTCTATCGTCTTTATTGTCGTGAAGTTTGTCCTCAATCGTAATTCTAGGATTAGTGATCACTGCAGACACTTCCACCGCACACAACACCGCTATTAAAGCCAAACCAATAAATGATTTCATATTTGGTTGATATGATTGGTGATGGTTAAATAGATATACTATATTATAATTAATACACAATTTGTATTATTATTCAGAAATGAATAGTTGAGTGAAAACTATGAACTGAATTCTCCGTTGCGTTTGTCTCCATATAAATACCAATTCCTTATCAATTGGTTAACGAATGCCTTAAACGGTATGAGTCGGGGGACCGGGGGTTGAGATTGCATACCATTCCTGGAAATGCACACACAGTATGTTCAGTACAGACACTATCACTCACTTTATTAGTGTTTTATTGGCATTTCATTACACAATAGGATAAGTATTGTCTTTGCAAAACTACGACAATTACGATCATGCACGTTTACTGGTTGGTTTATTACCCCGGTACTATTAAGTTGCCAGTCCTGAAAATGACAATCGCATGACTCATATGATGGTAATTTCAATGTCGGTTTGACATTATATTCTCTACACTCGAGATTAGTTCGACAAACAATTCATAAATAATATCGTGTATTAGAAGTGTATTGCAGTTTCTGTACAATGTTTTGTGTAAGTTATTTCATTAAATAAGATGATTTGATAATCACCATGGTCATTGGTGTATATCCTACATTAGTGTGATTCACTTGCATTGTTTGGGCGTAGAAGTGTATTGCAGTTTCTGTACAATGTTTTGTGTAAGTTATTTCATTAAATAAGATGATTTGATAATCACCATGGTCATTGGTGTATATCCTACATTAGTGTGATTCACTTGCATTGTTTGGGCGCCTCGCAAAATATGCACTTTTAAGTTACCATTTTAGTTTAGGGGCGTATTTCTTTTATTGAATTATGCTTATTTATTACAGAATATTCTGTTTTGTGGACATTCTTGGTATTTGTAATTCTTGAGGCATATTTTGCGTACATTTCTGTTAAATGTTATTGTAGTGTATTTTTGTTGATTTTGGTTAATGTAAGGTTACATTTTGGTAATGGTACCTTGTTCGTTTTAGTATCGTAATATGTTTACGTAAATATTTGTATCAGGTGTAATTATTAAGTATTTCAATTGGTGTTTGAAATAAATTGAGTGAATAATATTTGGGATAAATACATAAATGACTGATAAATAGAGATTAAGTATTGAATTAGATTTCAAACGTTCATAACATTAGATTTAGGACTTTGTGTGCATTAATTAATGCCAGTATTTATTGCAATAAATAATATCACACTTTTCGAGGCATACTTTGGTTATGAAATCGACAAATGTCTAAACCAATTGCTATTTCGTTTGTACACAAAATATTGTAAATAATAAGTGAAATATTGTTTCCCGGGATTTGATTATTACTGATACCCGATAATGAATATTATTTAATCTTATGTAATCAATAAATGCATTGAAAGTACGCTGTGTCCACATCTCTCTCTCTCTCTCTCTCTCTCTCTCNAGACAACCTTTTATTTTCCACTTTTATTTACTTTTATTGCCGGCTATTATTTCATTCACAATACTCTCTCTCTCTCTCTCTCTCTCTGAAATGTTTGGATTATTAAAATTGATTTACAAATTAAGGAGTTCTCTGTCCTCGAAAAATTTGTTTGCATTTTAATATTAGACAAATATTTTATTTATTTATAAGTTTTAACCTCAAATGCAAAGAATGTTTTATAAAAAGTTACCAGGTTAAATGCACTCGTTATGTTTTACACACCTCTAATCATTTAAATGTCATAAAAAATGTAGATTCTGGATGATTTTAGATGAAACTATAGAGTTAAAACTGATCATTGAAGCAAGGTGATTTACCTGAAAATAATGCTATAAATCTGACCAGACTTATTGAGACAATAAATTTGTGGTAATTATTACCAAATGCTTTTACAATTACTCCCTAGTGTCCACTTTATATTTAAAGCTTAATCATTGTAGTGAATGTACTTTACTAAAAAATGTATTGTATGCTATAATATAATAAAGAATATTAATTGCACTAATTGCAAAATTATGTTTCAATTATCAGTGCATGCATGTTATAAATGGTGAAAATTCTAGATGATTCTAGATTGAATTGTAAAACCTATAATTTAGTTAATTGGTGTACAATTAAATAATCAAGTCTATTTATCAGTAAATTGATTTAGAGATATAGAAAAGGAAATTAAATGAAAATTAATTTTAACTATAAATTTTACAATTATTTTACTAATTATAATGAATATAATAATTAAAAGGATTTGCGAGAAATAAGGCTCAAAGAAAAAATCAGATAACAATTAATAGGATTCAATGATTCATATGTTTTTCGTATAACAAATGCAATAAAAATATAAATATCTTTAAACGTAAGAATATTGTATTAATTATCACAACATCTATACAATTAATTATAGGAATTGAATTAAATCAGAGCATATCTTAATGGACTTAATGTTATTAATAATATAGTGTTGCATAAAACATGGTTAACATGTATGAAGGTAACATGTAACACGCATAATTGCCGGTACTGTAAGTCCATGGTGAATCATAAGGGTATTATTGACCGTATGGTATTGTTTGTCTACCGACGCTATTATGCGATAATCTCTAATGTATTTTTTCTATGGGAAAATGCATTGACATAACAACCGGGTCTCTCGTCTAAGTCTATCAATATTGTATTTTACGCACACAAATAGGCACTTCATATTCACGTCTGAATAATACGATTATTACGAAATTATTACTATATTTTACAATTAATTTTATTTATGATAATATTTGTAATTTTACATATAAATTAAGTCAAATTCAAAGCACTTTCTATTATAGAGATATCTATTGTTAATATAAAATTGTCTCAATTTTTTGCTGATCTCTAATTTATTATAACAATAATCTTAACCATGAAGTCGTTAATGTGTACGGCGTTTATACTAACGGTTATTTCATGTACAGTATATTCTGGTAAGTGTTTTTTGATTTATTATTACCCTATTTAGTACTAATGAATTGTATATTACATGCTATGTTATATAAATTATGATTATCTAATTCACATAATATTTTATTGTAATTTAAACTTGATTTATGTGTTATGTATTAAATGTGGTTATTATTAGTTCATAGGAACTGTTATAAAATTGATATGAACTGTAGACACAATTGAAAGTTAATTTTAAAATATAATTAATATAATAGTTATTTTCTATTAGGAGCAAGTTAAATTAGTATTGATTTTATAAAATAAACTTTTTTTATTGGTTTATAATTAATGTTTGTGTAACTTATGTCTAAAATCATAAGTACAAGTAATAATCACAATTAAATTAATGAGAGTGTAAAGTAAAAGGTTCAGACTTATACATCGTGATAAGAAATAACATTATTAATCCATACAATTGCTGACTATAACTAAAAATATTTGATATTTCACACAAAAGTCGAGCGAAACCATAAAAACGGTAAAATGTTAACAAAGTCTTAGATATCTGTATCCAAAAACAGTAAAAGACTTTGATTTGTGATAAAAAACTAACGAAAGTACTGTTTATTATAGACGATGTGATTGTGGTTTTAATTGATATTAATTTATAATTAATATATTGATATGTAACATAGTTTATAACTCTTACTGTAGGTACAGTATTTGTGTTGAAATTAGTACTTTATGTTACAATAAGGTAGAAAGCATGTTATATCTATTTTTAATCTGATTATAATATAGTGAATTTCATATATCGTAAAATATTTAGCAATTATATACCCTATTATTTTGAACCCAATGTGAACTTATTACTATTAATTCACATAATTATGTTATAAATGTCTTAATTACTTAAAAAATTAAATTATTAATTGGGGTAAAATATTATTTAATTTCTGAGGAGATCTATGACGCTATTATAGTATAAGTAGATCCCAGAAGTCATAAGACAAAACACTAATCTCAATACTTTGACTAAAAATTATGATTGTACTCAAAGATAACTTTCTATAATTAGGCATTTAATGCAAGATTACAATTACTTTTACAGATTAAACATTTAGAAAACAAAGCACTTTCACATTTTAAATGCAATTTTGTATTTTCAATTCCTAATCATTGATTAAATAAATTATGATAACATTTTTTTAAATAACACGAGATTAGTGTATAAAATATGCTAATTATGTGATTTATAAATCATTTTTCATAGATGATGTGTTGGAGATATTTGTCGGGACGCAGAATCGGGAAAACTATTACCGGTCGGGAGACGACGTGATAGTGATGTGCGTTTACAGTGCCGTCAAAAATGCCAAACAGTTAAGGATTAGCGTTCATAAGTGTATTAATCAGATATGCCGTGAATTGTACGCCACAAACAGTATGTGTTTTTGTTTGTAATCAAACAATCAGTTTATTACCATATATTATGCAATAAAATACTAATCCTTTTATGTTTATAATATACAGAAAATTTTGTACCAATTAATGGTGTGAATCGTATCGTTGACGAGAGTGTGCCCGGTATGGTGTACCTGACAATACCCGGTGCCGGACCCAACACAGGTGGTCGGTATCAGTGCAAAATGGATTATAGAGAGCCCCGTAATAATCACTACAAGTCTATCGCCACTGAATATGAAAATTTGCTTTTGAAAAGCAGATTTAATTAATCATGGTAGTTGTTTT